TCCCTTCTCCTGTCACTGAGTTCGGGCGTTGTTGATCGACCGATTTTCGACTAGGTGTTAGTCAAAATCAAATCCTTATCTGTCAAAAATAAGTACAGTGAAATCAGAGTGCTGTTACTGTTGATGAAATATCTAACCAACCTGTTTTTTTTCTCATAGAATCAGAATATGCCCCCACATACCGTATGCGTGATAATGTTTGCACCATCGTACACATAAGGTTCCCGTTTCACCTGTGCATACAATGCCTTGGTTTTCTTTGCATGCACGTACCCTATAGCTCATACCGTAGTAGGCTGTGTATAAAAGAAAATGATTTGCTTAGTTTGACAGTTCTGACATGAAGAAGTGGCAGCGTATTCGTGATTTGTTGCCACGCGCAAATGTCGCAAAAAGACATTTCAATCGCCGTGGAAGTGTCCCGGTGGACCATCAAAAGGGTTTTAGACCGAGAAAAGAAAGGACAACTATCCGCGAAGGTAGCCACAGATCGTCTGAGGTCAGCTCGGGTTCCGAGGGTTATCGCTGTTATCAAAAGGAAGATTTGGGTGAATCCAGTGCGGTCAATAAGGAAAATGGCAAAGGAACACGAGATCAGTGACTTTACGTCACGGAAGATCGTAAAGGAAGATTGCGGAAAAAAACTCACAACCGCATCCGGGAGCTACGAGTCGAACGATGCATGAAAATCTTGAACTTCCATAAGCGAAAAAATCCGGTAATCCTGTTCACCGACGAGAGCATGTTTACCGTCGATCTCGTATCAAATTCCAGAACCGACCGGTATATTAGTTCTCTTCCGGTAAAAGACGTGACCGACGAGCACAAGAATGTCTACTGACCAAGCATCCTGCTAGCGTTATGGTATTTGGATTGGTGGCTTCCGATGGCAAAAAAAAAATGGACCCGGTGTTCATTTCAGAAGGCGACAAGGTCAACACGGAGGTCTACATCGGGATTTTAAGTAAGTATGTTCTTCCGTGGATCAAAGAACAGTACGGTCCGAAGCCAAATGTTGTATTTCAACAAGATGGGGCTCCGTGCCACACCTCCAACCGCACTCAGAAGTGGTTGCAGGAACATCTTCCGTTCTGGGCGAAGGATATGTGGCCGCCATCCAGCCCCGCTCTTAATCCGCTGGATTACTCAATATGGCACGTCATGAAGGCCAAGGCCTGTTCTAAACGCCACCCGAGTAAAGCAAGCCTCAGACAAACATTGACCCGTACCTGGATAGAAATTGATCCAGACTACATTATAAGAACCTGCCGTGCATTCCGGAAGCGTGTGGAGGCCGTTATTACAGCAAGTGGAAACTAGATCGATAATTAACATATTTTTAGACTCTTAGAAACATCCCCCTTCGAAAAAATAAAAAAAAAAAACTGGAAAACGAAATTTTTGAGAGTTTTTTTTAATTTTGACATTGCTCAATGGTGCAAACATTATCACGCATACGGTACACCTTTTATGTTGAAATTTTTACCTAGTGGATGAGTACTTAAGGTGGTTAGGTTTTTGATAAGTCTTTATTGGGAATGACACCAATGAATACTGAACATTGTAGTCGAAATACGTATCTATCATGGATACCAACATTAATTAAGTGGAATTAAATGGTAGATAACACGTCTAACACATATTCGTTATTATTCCTTTTAGCAACACTTTTTTTCTGCATGCTAATTAAGTCCTCCGTTCTTAATTCATTAATATGAAACAAGTTCTGGTCAACCAGGAGGTCATTGTAATTTTAATGCTTGAAAGTTGAGTATTATTTCCGTTTCATTTTGAAAACATCGAAAACTATTGCAAAAAAATAGATTAGGTTAAACGGGGTGGTTAAATATCTACAATTTAAAGCATGTTTTATGATAAACTGTCAAAAAATTGCAAAATGGGAGCAATGGTTTCATATATTTTGGAGAAGAACCTTAATCAAATAATCCAAACCTACTTAATAAATTCAACAATCTCAACCTTAACGAAAGTTATTGGCTGTCCATGATCGCTCTCAACTTACTTTATTTTAAACCTTTCATTGGACTAAAATATAATCGTAAAGTAGCATGGAGAATGCTTTGCGCAAATTGTTTTGTAAAATAGTTCAGCTGATACATTTTCCAGAATGAGAGTCTTTTTGACGAATGGAAAAAAAGATGGACGCTCACCTCCAATTCAGAAGGACAGTTATTATTGTTTGACAGGAGCCCAAAGCGGTCGCATATCAGCTGGTACCGTGGTACCTCATTGTTTGACCGAAGAGAATTAGTTAGCTCGATTGATCACCGGATGAACTTCATCGGTTACAAATTTACACGAGTTCCTCAGGGAGTGCGTTTCATGGCTTAACACAGGTAACTAGCAGTTTAAAATATTCCTATGAACCCTATATACCTATATAAATCAATGGATTAGTAGTAGTACAAATGATACTCTTGAATTCGTGAACTACACTGAAGTCTTTTTTCACGCGGTTTTTTTACGCGGTTTTTTTTTACACGGGTTTTTTTTAGTGCCGCTGAGTTGCAATTTACGCGGTACGTTTTTAACGATTTCTCAACAACGATGCAACCTATAGACTTGATTCCAATCACATTATCCGTTTCAAGCTATAGGTAATCGAATGGCATACTTATAAAAAAATCACAATTTTTGGTGTAACCACATAATTTTTTAAAATATGCATATATATGCTATAATTACGAATGGCATCAAACTCCGATTTATAAAAAATCAAAATCTCGGTAGTTTCTTTTACGCGGCACGTATCACGCACGTAAAAAGCGACTCCAGTGTATACTGATTGAAGAATCCAATAGGTCTCATATAACCTACTCGGTAAAGGCGTGGTATGGCCAAGCCGGATGCGGCAAGTACGCCTGGTTCGGTCAAGGAAATCTTTTTTTTTTATCCTTGATATGTTTTCCGTCGATTTTGTTTTCCGTGCTGAGCACCAATGCTACCGACGCCAGGACTCATGAACCGGGGATCAACTGCTTTACTTCCCTTCCGAAGGAAGGCGTGATCAGAGATGTTATGCCTCAGAACATCCCGGTGGTGCCGACTGGGATTGAACCCAGGCCTGCTGGGGTGAGAGGCAATCACGATTACCACTACACCATCGGTGCCGCTTGGCCAAGGAAATCCTTCGAGTTGAAATTTTGTTCGACTTCCCTGTACATATAGTAGCACTGTGCTTGCCACACAATATACAAATTCATGCATTTGTTGACATAGAAAGCTCTCGACTAATAACTGTGGAAGTTCATCTAGAACACTCAGTTGAGAGCCGGCAAAACGTTCGTTACAGAAGCGTTAAAAGCCTAGAAGAAGAAAAAGGCATAAATAAGGTCTTACCTTACACTAGAAGAAATATGTATCAAATAAATGAATAAGTAATAAAATAAGTATATTTTTCCTTTGGAAGGACTATGGGTTTAATAGGAATTAAAGAGATAAAACTACATTGTAATTTTCATACTCGAATATTTTTATACTACTGATTGATAGAGCAGCGGCGTAGTGAGCGGTTGGTAAAAACGGCTCCCGCTAAGAGCAGCAAGCCAACGGGGTGAATCGGAAAAGTTATTACTTAAAAACTTTTCCACTAAATTCATTCCATTGCCTTAAATCTATGGACGTAGACAATGGATGGCATGGGAAGGACGAATTCTCATTTCACTAATTCAGAAGTTATTTCTCAGAATTAAAATAAAGCGAGCTTTGAGTTATTTGCAGAATTATGAAAATGCTGCTAGGGTGAACCATATTAAGCAAATGGAATAAGGTTGAATGTTGGAAAGCGAGAAATTGTACTTAGGAATCTTGAGCTTGAAAAAAAGAAAATTAAATTCAGGGTTGGAAGATCTAATGAAATTTTTGAAGTACGGTGAAAACGGCATTCATTCAGATTTCAGTAATGAATGTAAAGTTCAATGAAAATTAATGTAATTCTCGGGGGATTGCTATGAGCAGTAATGGAGAACCGCACTAAGCCGAAACTGAAGGGACGTGCAGTGAACCTATGAATCTGTGCTTTATGCAAAATTTGCGCACATATAGAATGTGCTTAAATTAGAAACTTTAACTATATTGAAAATATGACTGCTATACTGTCACGTTACGAAAATATTATAAAAAGTTTGTGTTTATATTGATTTTTGAGCTGTTCATATTGGAATAAGCTTACTTTGTGCATATTTTGTGCTCTCTTACCCAAATCGCACGTTGGGTACGGCAATACTTCAGCATACCTCACTTCGCTTTGGCAGACCTCCCTTAAGTCGGTAATTCATTCTGGTAATTCCCGTAGAATTTGTTTTACATCAGTTTTAATTTAACTCGTGAGCATAGAAATTGGGTGTAGCTGATTGGTCTTCATTGTTTTTCAGACTTATGATCAAAATTGATATGACGAAGTTGTGCTCTAACCTACAACCTATTTATGTGCTGTACGTGAATTTTCAAGCGATCCTTGGTTGTGAGTGGAGTTTCTGAACTTATTCATGGACGATTACTTACTGCTTAACGGATATGTAATCTTCCAAGTTTGTAAGCCTGCATTTCATTTTACACAAACTAGGCAGCTGACAGCAATATTGATTACAAGTTTGTTACCAAGATGGACATTTTCATACAAAGTTTGAATATTTCATGAAGATCTCCTTTTAAGTGCACTATATTAAACAGAAATTAACACTAATTATCTGTGTTCTTAAGGTTAGTTATAACTAAATCTAAACTTGAATAGCCTTGGTGTAAGAAAAATAATACCAAGTTTACTCTTTTTTACAATGTGATCCCCATATTTTCTTATCGAATCCATAGATCAATTTGAACAGAGCTATGCAGTGTTTAAAGCTAGCGAAAGACGGATCTAAAGTACTTTCAATTTCAAATAATTTAAGAAGTGTTAGATTGCATAATTTATAAATCAACTTACACCGCTGGAATTTTATGGCATAAATGAGTTTTTGGTAACTGAAATTGTCTCTTACCTTGGCTTTGCGATGAACTGTGAGAACCCCATGATGATTTGTAAGATGAATCTGAAAGGATAATAGATATCAAGTATTATAAGTTTAATTCCATTCAGAAGTTAAATGTGGCAAACAATAAACAGATATTTTGATCTATTATGAAGACATATTAATGGAACTCTCACGAACCTGCCAGGAGGCGGAATCAATGAAAATTGAAAGCAGTATGTGGTCTCGATTAATGTATATCAAATAATTGATTTAATCGATTGATTTTTATGCTGACTGCTAGTTTAAGGAAACATGATCTGTAGTGTTAATATAACACAAACCAGTGGTGCAATTTCTGTCAGAGGGGGAGATTTCGTTTTACACTTGCGAAAATATTCTGAATTTTTTTTTATCCAATTCGTAATTATTGCATGCTTTGCACCATAAAGACAAGTTTAAAAAATTTGTATTTACCCCAAAAATTTTGATTTTTTTAAAGTATTCCATTCGATTACCTATCGCTTGAAGTGGATAATTTCATTTGATGACATAAAAGCTTCTTATTATTTAAAAATCTGGGAAACCGCGTAAGAACTGACCAACCGAGATTAAAAATTTCACATACCGTAAAACGGAGTGAAGTTGATTACAACTCCATTAAATTTTCGATTCTAAACAAGCCTTTTCACAATACTATTTTTAGATAATTTGTTCAGTATTTCAATAAGTAGTTTATGAAAGATTCCGTATCATAACAATGATTTATGAGAAAAATTGATGATAATTTCCTATATTTACGCATATTTTTAACAATTTCGCAATGAAGTATGCAGGTTTTACGTAAAACACTTTTTTTTTGTAAAATTTAAACACCAGATTCTTCTTTAGAGAACACAAATCAAGTATAAATGCTTACTTCTGAATATTGCATTGCATAAAAATCTGCAAGATCATCTTCACCCCAGAACTGAAAATTTGCGTTTTTAATAAAATTTTAAATCTTAAACAAGCAACTTTAAAATAAAATTCTTACAATAGACTAGCACTTGCTAGTACAGGTTTAAGAGCGATTTGTTTGTGTACCAAACGCAGTGTTGGAAAAGTTCGCGATATTTCACGAAGTTCACCAAGGGAAAAGTTCGCGAGTCATAGTGAGTTTTCGCGAACTTTTCCATCACTGCCCAAACGTATCCCTGGAAAAATATTCAGGTTTATCGGTAATAAGTGACTCTCCGTTTTATGGTACTTAAACATTTTCAAATGTTTGGATTCTGATAGCTACGATAAATGATTGGAAAAAAAAAAAAATTAAAAACGTACCGCCTAAAAACCGGGTCTAATGACATATGAAAATTTATGGCCCACGCGCTGATGCATGCGGCTTAAAAACGTTGGGAAGGCCTGAATTAGGTGGTTCTGTTTCACGGGTTTGAAAAATCCTGGCATTTGGGATTATATTTTTCAAAATCCCGTCAAATCTTGGGATCCCGGGAAAAATTAAGATGCTTGAAGCTTTAGAATAAGTATGACTAGACTAAACAAAAATTGAACATGTTTCTGTCTTAGAATCCAGTTTTTTTTTAAATAAGATTTTAAACAGCAATATTGATTTTTGCTGTTTTGCGGAGAGAAATGATGTAATTTCATAGCAAATTTTCGAGGAAAGAAAGAAAGTCTCTTACAAACGGTCAACGTTGGCTTCATACCAGTTTATACGATTGTTAAACCATGAAGCCTCCAATAAACTCATAGAGAGAAAGCTCTTTTTGAATGAACTTCATCTATGGTTTATATTTAGCTACTCCCAGCAGTTCGTTGGATAACTCGTCTTTGGAAAAGTGATGTGCTTCTTGTCCATTTTAGCAGCTGTTTATCGTTTTTATTTATCGGAAGTCAATGATGACATTTTTTTGTGAACTAGAACCAGCCGACTGTTCCATCGTTCTAGCCAATCCATCCATTGTTAAGTATCAGGCAACTCAACAGAACTTGATTTATTGTTGTTATAAAGAAATATCGTAAGTGAAACCGATTTAATTTAAAAGTGCGTCTTTAGATTATTGACTTCAAGACCATAATATAAAAATTAGATGAATTTGGTTGGACTTCTGTTTTTACAAAAAAAAAAAAAACTCATGCCATCCACGCTTATTGCGCCGTCAATCATTGTAGATCGATAAATCGCGCTAGGATCTTGTTTTTGTGTGCTATACCACCTAGTATTTGTTGCGTTCAATGTTATAAATTCTCAAATTTCAGGAAATCCCGAGACTTTTGCAAAAATACCAGGATTTGGGATTTATCTGATAATGGATAATTGCAGGATTTATTATTTATTATTTAATTGTGATTTTTGTGTTTCCAAGCAATCTTTTAGCTTTATTTACATAACTTGGCATTTCTAATCACATTTAGGTGATGTTTTTGGGCGATTTGAAAATAAATTTGGTAAATTAGGGCCATTTTGGAACTTTTGGGACGTTTAAAATACCTATTTATCGTTTTTCTGGTTATTTGGCATTCATGATTGTTTTGGGGGTTTGCAGACTGTTTCGGCGTTTCAAATCTTTATTAGCGTATTATAAGTCGGTCTTATATTTCTCCTGTTTGTGAATATTGGTGTCCGTTGATTGTAATTTCAAGATGAACTGGATTTTAAGCTTCACTAAGTTTTGCATATAGGATTCCTGCGAGAGATCAACCGGGAAGAACGCAATATGACATTATGAGAGTCCCTATTCACTCTGACCCACTCGTGACATTATTTATTTATTTATCACCGTCTTCGACTAGTATAATAGACTGAACTATTTTACTTATAAACTAGAAATTACTACTAAAACTATTTCTAAAAACGTTTTTAGTCAAATTAAAATCGAATTCGTCACAGACAACATTGAACAAGCGAAGATACGATTAAAAAGGGTTGTTGTAGCCGTAGTTTGTTCTGTGGTATGGGACTGCTGTTAAAGTTGAGCTCCGAAACCGTCGAAGAGGAATGTTAAGCGGGATCTGTGCGAGAAGTTCAGGGCAATCGATAGATCCTCCAATGACATCGAAAATAAATAGCCGCTGCATCGTTACTCGTCTGACAGATAGTGGTTCCAATCCTATGAGCTTGCATTGGTCAGAATAAGGAGGAAGATTGGTCGGATCGTTCCAAGGAAGTTGTCTCAGTGCAAACCGTAAGAACCTTTTCTGAACCCGTTCAATCGTGAGAACATGAGCTACATAATAAGGGGACCAAATCGGAGCAGCGTACTCCAGAATGCTACGAACCAACGAGCAATAGAGAGTTTTTAAAGCATGGATCGCACAAGTACGGATATATCCACTCTGTAATCCAATCTGGAAAACCTATGTGCTTCAGTTTTTCCACGGCTAGAATGTGCGGTACAGTGTCGAAGGCTTTCGCAAAGTCAACATACACCGCGTCAACTTGCCGCATCTCTTCTACTTCGCGGGACAGTGCGGTGACGTAACATATGAGGTTCTTTGTTGTAGAACGATGCACCATCAAAACTGTATTGGGGGTCCTAAACCTGCATCCCCAGTTCAGCGAATCGCATCAACACCTTTTTACAGTGCGTTGCCCACATTTTGTAGAATTGCAGATCGTTTGTGGAATCTACTTTTTTAGACTCCATCGGATAGCTGTCGGTGATCAACTTGGATGCACGCAAGATGGCATTATGAGTCACTGTTGGCACTCGATTAAAACCATATTGCTTCCTGCCTCAAACGTCGTCACAATCCTGTGGTGTCGCAGTAGAAACGGGGTCCCTTCTGGCAAATGTTGGGGGGTTCGTGAGCATTCCTGACATTGCTGAAAATTATGATAGCATCAGATTGCGGGGTTATCAGTGTAATAGGATGCTTTGTTGATTGTTCATTAACTCTTGTTCGCTTGTAATACTTATGAATATTTTAGGTGGACAAAAAGGGGAACTAAAAGGCGAGACACCTGAGCTTATCCACATTTATATCGCTGTGAAGCATTTGTAAACTCTTGAGGGAATTTATATCTGTAACTGTAACCAGTTAGATTTTGTTTGCTAACCTGGTTAAAATGTCATATTTAACTATCTTTAAGATAAATCGTCCAGCTCAAACCTTTCTAGGGGTAAGAGGTGGGGCCATCATCATCATCTCCAGACAAGTATGCGTGTATTTGTGATCTTTCCAGCACTGTCAATTTTAGTTTGAGTTTAAGAACTATTCGTACTGTATTGAATCTTGGTGTACGTAATTGTCCTGCGTCCTATGTCCCAGCCTCATCATAATCAACTTAAAATCTATCCTAGAGCCCTGAGCTTTAAGTGTGATTTTGGTGTATGTTAATAGTTATTGCACTTCTTTAAAATAGTTTAACTTCACTCTAAGGGTGCTAGATCTGTACGCCTTACATCAGTGGCGGCGGCGTAGAATCCATTTTCGCCTCGGCGGCGGCGGTGTAGTAGCGTGACGCCGTTGGCTTTATTCAGCGGCGGTGGTGGCGGCAGCGGCGGCGTGCATCGGCTTGTCATTTCCAGGAAAATTTACCATCTCTAGTTGATTGATTTTTTGTTTCGTTCATGAAACTATGTACTCAACCCGACACAATTAAATTAAATTCGTAGAACCTTCATTTCTTTTTGTCTGATAGAAAAAAAAAAATCCCCTGTATTAAAATTTAAGTCCGAATCTATTTACTTTCCCGAGAGAACACATTTTATCGTGGTTAAGAGACGTGTGTGTGAGAAAATTTGCGAAAAAATCTAAGGGCACCGGTGGGATACGAACCCACAATTCCCATTCAGTACATGGGTGCATTGCCAATTATACAACGGCGGACCTATGGTCTACGGATGTGTTTGGCTAATCCCACCGGTGCCCTTAGATTTTTTCGCAAATTTTCTCACACACACGTCTCTTACCGATGATATGTGCTTGCCTCTCAGTATGTTCAAACTTTCCTATAAACAATTAAATTGACTGCAAAGTCGCTAAACCGTAAATCAAAAAGTAAAAAAAAGTAATTGATATTCATCAACTACGGCCCGGTGGTCGGAGGTGAGGCCGGCAGCTCAAAATGTTAT